GGTTTCCAGAAACTGTAAATTTTAAATTAATGTCAGTAGCTTTATTACCAGAGAGGAAAAAAACAAAAACAAAGAAGAACCAAAAGAAAATTCTTTTTTTTTTCTAACAGTTAGAAGACTGTTAACTGAAAAATTAATTGGGAATTTTTGAACCGTTGCAAAAAGTGATCAGAAAAAAAGAAGCGATCTTTGATCATTTTAATCTTGGTGAACAAATCCAAAGGTTCAAAATGCTTCTTTTTTCTAACGCATTACTTTTCCCCGGTTCGCTGATGAAATCACTTTAGTAGCTCTATGGTAACTCATTCTTACACACTTACCAACCAATGTTCAACAAGACTGATCTGAGACCAGTCAACAGGCCAACTGGCAACTGATACAAAGCCCACCGCCGCTGTGGAAAAAATCGCTATCTGTTTCAGTATCTGGCATTCCCATGCTACGGGATTGCCGTATTCACAGACAGCTTACGGTTCAGCATTCTCCTCTAGCTTCATTACATTTGAAGCCTAGAAATAAATCCGACAGCGAAAGGAGAATCCCACTGGGGGCGGAAGATTCGCGGTATAAGAGGGTGGTAAGAAGTAATTCTGCAAAATTAAAGTTTTAAAGCTGCAACGTTTTTTTGTGTAATTGATAGGCTTTAGACAAGTCGGCTCCAAGCGGAAAAAAGCTTAAACAATTGTAGCGTGTTTTTTCTTTCTTCTTTTACCTAACTTCGAAAAACGTGTAAAAAAAGTTGCTGAAACTGATGAACACTCAAGAGTTCTAAGTGATATCAAAAAACTATATTTATTACCCTGGCATCTGAGATATGTGTATGCAAACAAAAAGGTTTGCAATTTGAACGTCTCCAACTGTATAACTCTCTTAATCCTCAACTATATACAACTGAGTCTGATGATACTAACTGACGTGAACCAAATATGCTTGTAGTGTATTTCTGAAAAGTTTTTTTTGTATTCAGCAAGCTATAGGTGGAAGATTTTCTATGAAGTAAAGGTACACAAAACGAAAAAAAACCTATGGAAACAAAATAAGTCAAAAGTAACAATGAATAAAGAACAAAATAATTATGATTTTTCCAATAGAGCTGTCACTGATAAGGGTTAAATGTAACTGAAATGCGAGAGCTTTAAAACTATTACGTTCAAACAGAAGTTTTTGGTGCTTTACCGAACGGTTGAAGTTTGTTGATCCAATAGAACAGTAGTTTAAAAGTTTGATTTAAAGTCCTCCTTGAATCATCTTACTTTGTTGCCAGTATATTTCTTTTTTCTTTGTAAGTTTATCTTAAATTCTCATTATAAATTTTATATTTTTGAATTACTAATCGTTACTGTTTTTTTAAACTAACGTTCTTTAATTAATAACCAATATCTGTGACTGATAGAATTTATAGCCTCAACATTATCACTTCATTACCGTTACCTCGACGTGCATTGAACTGCATTTATCATTCAACAGTTTTCATAACGTACCAATCAGTAAAAGTTCAGTGTAATAGGTATCTGTTAAAATTCAACATATTACCTAATGAAAATTTGATGAATTTTTTAAGACATCAGGAGGAACAAAAAACACGATAAAACAAAAAAAAAAAGACTCTGCTCCGTCTGACATGACAAATGCAACGAATCCTTAAGATGATTATCAAGCATTTTGCTCTTGTTAATTTCCAGGCGTTTTTTTCTGACTAAAATCTCCATTTCAGCAACTGTTTTCAGTACTCATAGTTCACTGAAATTTCGTCAAATCATCTGAACCGACTTGTTACAGAGCGGTTCACCTTTTCAGTTCTTTCCAAATATTCATAGCGGTTAACACTGTGTTACTTTTTCAAAGCTGACAATTAGCATGACCAAATCTCTCGCAGACTTTTTTCTTAGACATATTTTCCACGGTATCTTGTTTTCTGAAACAATTCAATGTATTCTAAACGACCTCCTTACGGCTTCTACCATCATTTTGCACCTATACTACCGGTATTACACAACTTAGCGTCGTTGTTTCTGCTTTTCCTCACCAGAAATACTTGCCCGATTAAAAAAGGGGCAAATTTAATAATATAACAAAAAAAAATTAGAAAAATAAAATCTTCATTAAATAAACAAAAAACCAAAAAACTTGACAGCTAGAAAAGTTTTAAAAAAGACATTGATATGATCAGATTTCAACAAATGGCTTTTTTCCCAACAATTCCAGTTGAGTGGGCAGTTGTCCAAAGTAGTAATAAATTCATTTTTGAAAAACTGATATAAAATGTACGCTTGTTGTTAGAAAAGTTGGCTTAACTTTAGTTCAACGGCTATATGGTACCGGGCTTCACGTAATACTGCCATCTATTTAACAGTATTTGTTTCGACGGATACAGATTTATTTACAAGTTGTTGTGTACTGTTTCCGAAGAACTGTTTTAGCATCAACTTGAATAAGGCGTGACGAAACTGCACAACTGCTTGAATTTGCACCATACTAATCACGGTTCAAATAGGGTGGTTACGGCCGCAGGTTTCTATCGGTTTTGCAGATGCTTATTCTTTAGACATATAAGGCAAATATATGATGATACAGCTCTTTATCGATCGTCCAGCTATGCAGATTGTTAACTTTATAAACAGCCGGATGCGACGAATGTACAGTTTAAATCCATCATCATCATTAGACGACATCCTGTTAGTTTCTAGATACTTATACTTGTCAAAAAAACTTACTTATTCTAAATTTTTTGTACAAGAGTCGATATTGAGTAAACCATGAAATCTCTCTCTTTAGTTTTCTAAATACTCTATTCAACATCTTTAGTACTGATGACTTCCAGAAAAATTGAATTGAACATACTTTGCGTTTACGATGTCTTTAATTTCGAAGCTTCTGTTTCAATCTTGTTTCTTCTTTTTTCACTTTTCACCTGTAAAGATCCCTCTGATAGTTTATCCATATAAACATCTTTTCTGCCTTTTTTTTCTGTCCGCCAAGATATATCTTTATTTGTAAACTTAGGCTGCTACTGTAAGTGACTTGTTGGGATGTTGTTTTTTTCATTTGCCTTAATAGCAAATTTTTCTTTTTCTCTTTCTCATTGTTTTATGCTCCTGTAAAAATGGGGTTTCTAACTCTCAAGACTTCTGTGATGGCAAACGGCTGCAAAGAAGAAATTTATGAAGGCATTTTTAAATCTTTAAGTTAAATTACTGGATCTATATAGACAAATTGTTCAGAAGGAATATTCTTTGGGTCTGTACCAGGTGGATGAAAAATCAGTATTTGTGGATGGAGGCAAATTAGTAAAAGCTAAGTATGATAACTTGCTTTTATAGGAGCATAAAGTTTGCGAGATCTGAAAACTAGGGGTTGACGATAACAGCTTTCAAGTTGGGCATAAAATAGTGAAAGCAACGGGCATTTCAATGATACGTTATGTAATGCGTTTTTTTTTTTGTTCTGTGCGCAGTTTGAAGGAAGTGATAATTTATCCTCCTTACTTATCTCTAGATTTTTTCAATTTTTAGGGGAAATTAAGTAATTTCTGGCATCTACTGAACAGAAGCACTGAAAAATTTACTATATGGGCGAAAAACTGACGGATTCTAAAGAGAATCCTGAAACTGTCGTGTTGGATTGCGGCGACACAGAGATTTCTAATCAGTGTTGCGAGTGCTCTCTACTAGCGTAGGTTTTATTTACGGATTATCTTATACATGGAAAATAGTGTTTTTGGAAAAAGTGAATGAATAGCGCCTATACGCTGGGATAAGGTCTGCTGACATTAAGCGCATCTTTATTTTTTGCTCAGTAAAACTAAAGTTTTTGAAAACTTTGTAAGAGACGAAAATATTTTTTACCAATTTATTGTTTTGGTTTGGTAATCGGTATAAAAATAGTTCATTTTGCACTTCTTACTACGATTTGTCTTTTAAAAGCGCCATATTTGAAGTTAGTGTATGATAGCAAAAAAGTGTAAAAGTAATCCTATTTTAATCATTTTCTTAGAGCTTGGTTTGGATTTTTACAGCAGAACTTTGTTGAAACAAGGCATTAGTGAGTGACAAGCAGCTAGTCTAGAAGAATATCTCTTTGTTTATTACGGAAATCAGTGTATGCGCTTTTTTTTTTT